TCAAGGGCCCTCCTGTCATACCAGGCCTGTCTCGCTCCGTACTGTATCATCATGTTAGAGTCATAAACACTATTCTGGACAGGATAACTCCTTGTTACAGCTCTCTGTGTAAAACTATGCTTGTACTATATCAAGACAAAAAAAAAAAACCAAATTAACTGTAGACACCCGGTACCCTTCCTGCTATTCTAGCTTGTTCTCCTCTGTTAATGCTCTTAGCAGCTGGTTCAGCTGGGTCAAAAGACTTCCAGGAGATGAGAGACTGAAACATAGATGTAGATAATGTGGCTGAGAGTCAAATATGTACAAAGTTGACAAGACAAAAGGGGAAAGATTTTATTTTTTCCCCTCAGAAAGGCAATGGAAATATGAAGAAATACACAGTTAATGCAAGCCTTCCACAGAGAAACTGAGAGCACAGTGAACAAATTCTCTCCCTGTCCTCAGAAATGGTATGGTAACTGGAAGATCTGGGGGTTTTTTGAAAAGCAATGAGAGTGAAAATCTGGAAATTTGCATGCAGTGATTTTGAGGATTATTTAAAATAATATTTTTCCCCTCTTTGAAAGTAATTTAATGTAATTTACTTATATTTAATTGTCCTGCGATTCTGCTGGAAAAAAACCCCAACAATTCCCAACACCATTGCATATGTGTTTTCTTCTTATATACATAGTTCAGTATAGTTTAGGGGGGTGAGTGCCCAGGATGTTTTGCATGATAATTGATAACTACTGAAGCAGGGCTTAAAAGCTTTAAACAATGTAAATCGAGTAATAATAAATGCTATTATAAACTATATTCTATTCTTATAATCTCTGTAGTGTTATTATAGGTATATAAATCCTTAAATAATAACAAAAAGCTTTATAGGTTATAAGAACTTGTTAAGCATAAAGACAATTTTTAATACATGGTGGTAAGGCTTTTTGATGAGACACATGAAGTATTCTGGAAAAACACATTGTACTGCCATTACATTGATCTAAGGTGGCAGATGGAAGTCTTGTCATCTGCAGTACCACATCATTTCAAAGAGAATGAATTAACAGAGATGGAGTATAGCAATTTTTAATGTAAACAATGTTTTGCCCTTCTGAAAGGGCCCATTTACAATTTTGAGGCCATTAGGCTTCTGCCCTGGCTTCTTTAGCACTGCAATTCTGCAATGGGATTGGAGAGCATTTGAGATTGACAACTTCTCGCTTGTGCTGCAAAGCTTCCTTTTATATTTCTGTAAAACTGAACAAATGACTACTAATGGTTTGCTCATCAGCTAGTAAGTGGAGGCCATTTAAGGCAGAAATGTAGGGTTTAGCTCCAGCTGCTATCCTAATGTTGCAGAAAGCTTTTGCTGCAGTTCATTAAATTCAACTTCAGGCAGTCACAAAAATGCCAGCTAATTATTTTTTTTCTTTCCTTGGCTGATTGAAAACTGGTGTCACCAATTTCCCCTCACAAAATGATGCTATAGAATTCTTCAGTCTTGGAGATTGAAGAGACAGAGCAGTGAGGAAGATACCAACATAATCCTTAAAATAACAGGTAATACTGAGCCAGTGAAACTTTATTTCCTACCAGTATGTCAGACTATCTTGGGAGTCAAGCATTGTATGGAACATTGGTTCTTTGCTAGTAAGTCACAGGGTCAGTATTAGTCACTAACTGGTAGTTTATGTTTCAGGGACTAATAACCAGATGAATGCCTAACAGAGCCTGTTTGAAGAGAGTGATTCCAGCAAGAATTGGTCCCTGCAGAAGCAGCCAGTGAGAGAAAGAAGTGAGGCCTTCATGGTCTGGTTGGCCACCTGGAGATGCGAGTTACATGTGTTCAGCTCTCGGTTGAAAAGGAGCAGACCTGTGTTATTCTTCAGTACTGGGTATGTGGGGTGTTTTAGTCTCTATTATGTTGGTTCATATCAAATTACATGATTGAAATTCTTTCATTTTGTGCAATATCAAAACTAAAAATGAGATCCAAAGCTGAAATACACACACGGAGATTCCCCTCCTGACCTTAAGTACAGAATATTGACCTGAACTCAGCTCTGTGTTATCACATGTATGATGTTACACCTCTGATAAATTTTTTTAAATATACATTATCATCTGTACTACCCATGATTTTAAGTTGTTTATAGAATTTATAGATAAAGTAATTAAAACCAGAACATCTGTGTGTGTTTAGTGCAACATTCAGAAATAGTAAATGTGAATACATAACCTCCTGCCATGGAGGTGCTCAAGGGAATAGGGGTTTTGGTTGACTTCTGTGGTGGTTTATTCTTCAGGGACTTTACAAATAGAGACCATGTCCAAGCTAGTCCACCAAGCTTTCATCCCAGAATTCTTGAAAAATAACAGATACTGAGGATTTGGGCTTCTGTTAATCATTGTTTATTGTCATATCACAGTCGGGTTTCCAAAGAGGGAGTTCTCTGTTCTGCTATACTTGTACACACAGACCAGACAGCCTTTACTATGATTTTAAAATGAAAATTAACACAAAATGAGCATAACAAGGGAACAGTAGAGAAAAGTGTAAAGTAACACCAGCAGAACGGTGTGATTGAACCTGGAATAGTGTAAATCATGTATCTTCAAGGTTTCCAAATACATAGCTGCAGCTTTGGTTGCATGAAGAGAGGAAACAAATTATTTCAGCCTCAAATCCTCAATAAGCATGCATATTTTTGCTTTTGATAGCATGCCATCAAATACCTGTTGTATACCAGTTATAAACTGGTAATTATTGTTGTCTAACCATGATCTTAAGAGTAAGAAGACACATCAAAAGAAAATGAAGGCTATGACAGCAATCAGGGCAAATCAGAAGTAAGGACAAAATCTGGCATTTGCTTCAAGCACCAAGACACAATGGGGTCATAGGAAGAAAGTTGTTAGGGAAACAGGTTTAGAGTAAGAAAACAAGACACAACATGTCACCCTTCCTTTGTTTTTCTGTGACAGTTTTCATATTTTTTTCTGTGACACAAGTTCTGTAAGTAAGTTTGAGTTCAATTTGGGAGATGTTTTTTTAGGACTTCATTAGGCAGCACATTAAAAATAATCAATACTGGGCAGTCAATAAACTGAATGTGCCTTCACAGAACTGTTAACTAAATTCTAGTCATGGGCTCAAATTATATTGCTATTTTCATATATGCAGCTCAATAAGCAGCACTGGGAAGAATTAAAAAGCTGAGATTTGTCACAGTTTGACATGTATAGGTAAGAAAGGGGTTTTGTTTTAATAATTGTTGAGGGAAGAAAAAAAAATTAGACTTGCTTTCAAATCCAACACTGAATTTGTGATGAAACTTTTTTTTCATTTGTAAGCTAAGCAAAACTGATCTGATATTTATTGAGAGACAAGTAATCTTCTGCCATTTTAAAGAAATATGACACTATGAAGGCTATCTTTGACAATAAACAAAGCCTCATTTATTTTATAATTTCAACTTCAGAACATAATTCTAATAAACTTCAGGCCTACGTTCTGAATACAACCCACAAAATATTTAAATGTATGTGGGAGCCACCAATGCCTCATCTATAAACAGACAAGTACCAAACCTTATTGTCTCGAAAAAGACTTGTAAATACATAAATGTAATTAAATAGGTTCAACCCTCAACTGTTTGAAATGATTTCTTTGAATATGGAAACCAACAATAGCTATGATCACAGATTATGATCCTGTGGCTAAATTTTAGCTTCACTACCTTGACAAATTGACGGACATTTTCCCTCACCTAAAGGGGGCCCCAAACCAAACACAGGGCTCCTAACAGAGCCTTGTGAGGGCTGGGGGGATTAATCGCCTCCTTCAAGCTCTCACCAATGCAGCTCTGCATGTGGTTGCTGCCCTCATTGCCAGGGTCCGCAACTGAGTCATGGTCAGTATGTTGTCCACCAGGACCCTCACTCCCACCTCCTTTTCAGCAGACCTGTTACCTAACCAGGCTGGGACAAGCAGGATTAGGTAGCATCCAACAGTATCAGAATATTCATACCAGAAATGGGTTATCCATCAGGCTGGAAAGGTCAATTTAAAGCACTGCCACGCTTGAGTACCAGCAGATTGGTGCTAACAATCTGCCATTCTGAGACTACTGTTCATGAAGCTCAATCTTCTCCTGGTGTGAAATTACCTGATGGCAAATAGAATGAGCAGTGGCATTTGTCACTGAAGGTGTGCCTCACAGTAAGCCTTGCAACCTTTCAGATCAAGTAGAACTTAGTAAAGATGCCAGCTTTCACAAGGATGTAGGAGATGCTTCACCAGCATGTCACCACAGGACAAGCTGTCCATTGCCAGGGGTACTGCCCAAACGAAGGTAAGCAAAATGAGTCAGCTGCTCACTCTGCTGAAAAATAAACAAACAGACAAGCAGATACTAAGACCCCTCCTGCTACAGATCCCCACCCCTCTGAAAAAGCACAAATTGTTTGTTCATCTGCCTGGTCATTGGCTGCTTTTGGACAGACATTCAGCTTTACTGTGTCTAAGAAAACAACCGTAAGATTCTGAAATAATTTTTTCTGTAGCTAAATTGTGCTTAGTGATGCCAACCAGAACGTGAATGGCTGCTTAAGCTCGCTACTGTTTCAGCAAGATAATCTTCTAGACCTAATACTGTAGACCACCACATTACTAAAAAGCTAAAATACTTACAAGACATACCTAAACTTCTTGACTTACCTGTTTATCTCCTTTCATAATACTTGTACTGGAAAATCGTATCCTCCCAGTATTTTTTTAAATAAAGAATAAATTTCCCACTCTGTAATCTAGAAGTCTCACAATCATTTGCAGTCTTTCTTTACTGAATGTGAAGACCATATGATCTTCATGAGCATACCATAATTCTCTTCTGCATGTTTAAGTAAGACTTTTATTTTTCTTCTCTCCAAGTGTCCTTTTTAAATGTAGAATTCTGCCTGTACTGAATTAAACAACTTTAAATGATCTAAAAAATTCCTCTATTAAATTGCAGATGGGAAGACAAGTCCAATGCGTCTGTTATTTTACTGTGGATTCCAGCAGGAGAAAATGTATATAGGAGGTACTTCTGAAAATCCTGAAATGCCTCTAAAATCAAAGTTGTATGCTCTCAAAACTGGGTTTCAAAATTTTAAGGGTTAGCCTGGAAGGGTTACTGGGGAGGTAATAAATATTGGACAAACCCCCATGAACTGGTGTGTAAATATATGCTGCAGAAATCGACATGAAAAAAATCGAGTTTTGGAGAGCACAGAGATAGAGGCAGTTATGAAAGAAGTGTGGAGTCACTTTTTTCCTTAGGTAATCAACAACAAATTCCTGATTCTAGAAGAAAATAGAGTGAATTTGGTAATGTTTATTCAACAACTTGGATGTAAACAACAGTTTTATTGATTACATTGGGCATGTTTGTTTAGTTGGAGGAGGGGGATTTTGCTCCTTGTTCCTTCTTGTATAGGGTCAGATTCAGCTTCAGTGAAGTGAATAGATGTCTTTCAGTGAGATCTTGATCCATCCCTTATTCTCCACAAATTTTTTTCTAAACTAAGAATGGCAATTAATGGACAAAATTTTAAATACCATTGATTTATTGCATTTATTGGACATTTATCAGTTGATTAAATATGCATTGTAGACTTCTATGTCAACAAGGACTGTAGCAATGGACCTCAATAGTTACCATAACACCAGGAAGTATTTTTCTTTCTTTTTAAAGAGAAATACCAATTTTTAACAAGAATATGTTTGCTAAATTCTTTCAAAAAAGGAGACTATTTAAAAGGTGGTAATATTTTAGGGATCTGGCTTTAATTGTTACTCTATCCCAGCATAGTATACTACATCTATTAAAAAAAAAAGACATTAAGTGATTTTGTGTTTATATTTATTGTCAGCAATACATCAGTTATGTAAAAAATAACCCAGATGAAAATGTAAGACTTGTTACATTTTCATGTCATCTGTATTAACTGAATAAAGCTTAGTGACAGTATACACAAATTTGCAGTAGTTGTACGTAAACATTTTGTGCATTAAAAAAGAAATATACATAATTTAAAAAATAAAAATGCATTACACAATGTACAAATTAACATTAACAAATAAAAGTAAACATTCCTCAGACAGCTGCCTCCTTGTTCTACAAATAAATATTCAAGTAAATTAAGTTAGGCAAAATAAACTCTTAACTTTGGGTGAGCACAATTTACATAAAGGTAAAAAGACAGATTTTGATTTCATTCAAGGTATATTTTACAGTGATTTATACATAGAATTTTTAAATTGGTCTCTTCAGATTGTAGTATTGGAAAACAAACTTTATTACATTTTGGCAGGAGGAAGGGAGTTTCAAAATTGATGCTTTATACCAAATATAAACAAGCTTGTGCAGTTGCATCAAAGTTTCAAAAAGGAACTGCTCCAGGACTCAAAGCAGACACAGTAATCTATAAACTACGGATTTTAAAAGGAAAACACAAACCACCACATCAACAGGAAGATGTCTACTTTGCTATTTTCTGAATGGTTTATTTGATCACTGGAAACGTTACTTTCACAAACTAACACTCTACGGTAGTGGCTGCTTTAGGCACTGGACTTGTAGAAGCACTCTTATTTTTAAAGCAAATTGCTTTTCATTCTATACTGCTAATTCACCTATTTATTTCTGTTTCAATGTTTAAGGGCTTAATCACCTTTGCAACTTTTAGCTTTACATAAAATTTCAGCCCTCCTGATAGCCTAGTATTTTTTTTCTTGATAACGAGGGAAGCCATTCTGGCTTCAAATTTCTGTGCACTTTGTTTGAAAAAAACCTAATAATAAAAATGCACTCTAGATTTTAAATGCAGCACTAGTATGATGCAGATGTGCACCAGCAAAATTCGCTGACCAGATATAAAATGTAATACTTACTAAAATACTTGCATGGATTGCAAAGGCTAAACATACTTTAAAAAATCTCCTATCTCTTTTTTCGGTTGTCCATTTTATATAGTAAGAAAAAGGAGATGGCATACATTTAACTTCAAGTTATTAAATTCTTACATTTAGGACATAAAAATCTTCAAGGCAAGAACTAGGCAACGGCTCCTGCTAAGTCCAGCCAGTATAATAAAGACAGATGACTCATTGCCAATGAAAGAAACCCTGTTCCCTCAATTTTCTATTGGTCCAATACCATTTGACAACACAGAATCAGACTTTTAAAAGTACAGAAATAATGATTAAGCTTTATGTCTCCACATGATAGTTATCATTCTTTAAAACTTTATAAATTTTCTGTTATTGTTTGTATGTCTGACAAAATAGGAATTAACAAGGTTCTTCTTGTTTTCTACTCAAGAATGCTGAAGTAATTAAAATCATCAAGATTTGGTTTTTTCCCTATGGATCTTTACAAAGCGACGTAAGACTGAAGCCCCCAGTCCTGCAACATGTATATGAATGAACCACTGCTGTGGCAGGGGGCCGTGGCACTTTACCAGCTGCAGCCGGATCAAGGTGTAAGATGAGAAATTAAACCTGTATAAAAGATTTTTACTATTGTTCCTCTCTGCTCATTGTTCCCATTTGACTAATACTTACACAGTGGGAAGAAGGTCATTTTCTTGAAGCAGTAACATCACGCTGGTAATATAAGTTAGCTAAGTTAAAGCAGGACCATAATGTCTATTGAACATTCACAAAAAGCACACTGGTTCCAAGAATTATTCTATATGGACCAAAGGCAGGTATTTTTAAGGGACCAAAGTTACCCACTGATGACCGTGAGAGTCTTGTTATCAATTTCAGTGGATCTGGGCCAAAGTTTGCAAAGCTACAGTTTAAGTCAGTGTGCAAAACCTGGTGCTTCTTGAGTAAATAGTGTGATGAGTAGGCAGAAATGGTTTAGGTTATAAAAAAGACCTGAGAACCTAATATTGAACTTTATATAACAATTATTTTTGAGAGGTTGCCTGATAAAGTTTTGTATTGCTTAGCAGTGGCACAGTCACTTATCTGTTCAGGCTACACATAGAAGCCATTTGATGAGAATATCCCTTCTCAGGTCATGAATCACATCTGTAACAGGCATGTAGATACAGTGGCAAGTCAATGAGCTTCATGTTGGAAGCATAACACTGAAAAGCCATAAACATGGAAGAGGTTAACAGTGAGTTTTTATACTGCCCAAGTTTTTAAAAAAGTCATGAGTATTAAAATGGCAGAACTACCAATCTTACTGTTTACTTGCCAGTACACTCAAGAGTGTAACTGAATAATTAAAAGAGTCTATCCAATTATCCTAATTAGAAAAGACAAAAGGGCTCTGAGTATTGCACTGTCAGCAACAGTGAAAATGCTCTCACTAGCAGAAGGAAAAAAGCAAACCCATTTTATTTAAGTTAAACAATCAGAATACCTTTTTAGACAGTAAGTATGTCACTCAGGATTACAGGGCAACCACTTTTCTTTTTCTTTTCTTTTTTTTCTAACAAAGTTAACAAATATAAAAAATCTAGTCATAAACAGCCTTCAAAGTACAATTAGAAACCAGCAGGACAATCTATACCAGTATAGGTAGATGGGGCAGGAAACTAGACACTTGTATTACTGCCATGATATAGACTACAAATGGCTGCTGTGACGAGGAACGGTGTGTATAGTACACGTCATTAGCCGATTCCATCCAGTCGCAGTCCAGAACAAACGCTACTCTCTTCAGGATTCAAGACCTGTCTACTTGACACTCCTTGCACATCATCATCCTTTCTGAAAAGAGGCAGTTTCTATGGCAATACTAGTTAAGTGCATATCATGCTGCACTAATATAGTGCAAAAATTTGCCTTACATGTAGCAAAAAAGATGCAGGCAACAGTTTAAGAGTTAAAAGTAGAAACGTATTGTAACATTTACAATGGGTATTCTTTTTCCAGACAGCAGCCGCCAGAAAATACTGAATCTGAGAAGGCCTCCTTTCTGGATGTACATATGAGGCCTTTATACTTTGGAGTGGTAACAGGACAGAATTTTGCAAGTGAGTCATTGCCCTCTGAAATGCGGGTTAACACAAGTTATCATCAACTGGCAAACTGTTGAACTTGCTCAGTGGGTTAATCCCTGTTAAAAGTTAATATTGTACTAAGCCTTAAAATGCTCTTTAACAAGTATATAATCTGATAGAGTAATACATATGGTTCAACTGAGTATATATGTTATGCTTGAATATAAAGAGTCATAGACAGCTTGGTACAAACTCTTCATGCGCACTGATTATACTTGGTTAATGATGCAGGGGCTTCCAACTGTCATTACTATGTCAGCTACAGTATTCTGGAGACAGAAGTGGTGCTTATAGTTTGTAAGATTGAGGAAAGACCACAAATCTCCAACTGCAGTGTCTGTTAATGTGATTCTGCCAGACTTCTCAGTGCTGATGGTCTAACGTAAAACAATAATACCTTGAATATCCGTAGGCATTATGAAATCCATCCTTTATCTATGATGCAGTTACAAAAAAGAAAAAGTCAAAACACTTAATCCACTCTATAGAAAATCCCTGTGGCTTTGGATACCTTCTGATTTCAATCCATTAGTTTAGACTGCATTTGTCACCATAAGAAGTTATACTTTACATATCTGCATCTCCATCATAAGCCAAGGTTAAAGGTTTCAGCCGGTTGTTCTGCCTTCTCTGGGGCTTCTTTGGCTTTTTGCTGAAACAATAAGATAATTTGTAAATAGAACAAGAAACTAATAACATATAAAGATGGATTTCAGTCTTAAATGAAAGATGAGTGTATTGTTTTAAGATAATGCATTTGGTTGTTCATTTGTAAAAGCTATAAGCCTAAAACCTTTACTTGGATCAGTAATTCTTTCTTCATCAATCCAAAGCAACATCCAATTCAAAGCTCAGTTGTTCAGAAATGGGCTGTTATGGTGCTGATGTGACTTGATGAAATCCTTGCTGGTACTCCTGTAAGACCAGTCAGTTTTCAGAACAACCCAGAGCCTGAAGTGCAATATTTGGTCATGTATCAAAGCCACAGTCAGGTTCTTTTAAATTATATAACCCAGATCTTAACCTCTCTTGACACATCAAGGATTTCCACAGGAAAGTCCCATCTTTGGGTTAGTTACATCTCATTACACTTGCTGGAATGACTATGGTTAATTCTAGTTGTTATAATCAAACCAGTCATAAATAACAGGGATATGGTTTGTTAGCCATAACCATTCCCTGTCTAGTCTTAAATTAGATTTTAATCCAGCAGTATTTCCAATCCATTTGATATAGTTTTTAAAACTTACCAAGCCAAAATGCATGCTTAGGCATGCTTTAGTACCTGTCTTCTTTTAGAGTGTAGTATTTCCTAAATCAGACCTATGTATCTTCAGTCTTGTCCAAAATCTTATCTCAGCTATGTCATTTAGGTTGCCCAAATCTAAATCTTTGTTACCAAACCAGTTGTGATAGTGGCTTTCTGTGGCCACAGATTTCAGTCTGAAGAATCTGCAGTGAAGTTGTATGCTAATAGATTTTCTTTTCCTCAAAAAATAAAGTATTTCTTTCCTTACTTAGACAGAAGTGAGATTTTGCAGAAGGTTTACTAAAACCCAAACAAATCTAGAAGCCCCACAAATGCTTACTGATGCAGAACAGCCAAGAGCCTGATGTGTATGATCACACTTCCCTCACCTTCCACTTACACAGTCATTTGGATCAGAAATTACAAACAGGATCTAGAAAACTTCAGGAAGAGCATCCTCAAAGATGACTTGTTCTTGTAAAAAAATCTTTGCTTTCCCAATAGACTAAGATTTTTCAACAAAGTATTGTATGAAAAATAAACGAGAAAGTTTTCAGACGTTTTTTGGTTGTGTGTCTCTATATCCTGCCAAATATCAAATCTGACATCTGATTATTACATTTCTTCCTTGCTATTTCTCTCTGCATTTTGTGATACAGACACAATGAAATTCTCATGGACACAGTACATTCTTAACAGAGATAAACTGAGCAAAAATAGACCATACAATAAGCTACCCTGTATTTGTATGAAGTTCTAACCTGAGGAGAGCATGCATTTATCCATCATCTAGACTACAACCACAGTCCACTACCCTGAGCTTGGACAAAAGGACATCAAAAATTAAACACTGCAGTTCACAGAAGTGCCTGCAGTTTCTACAGCAGCAAATGTAAATGCTTGCATTATAGTCTGTGTGGGACTGCTTGTTTGTAAATAATTAAAGAACTCACCAGGCTAGATAGATCATAGAAACAATAAAGATGAGTAAAACAAATGCACCAGCAGCTACACCATAAACCCAGGTCTTCAGCCTCCCATCTAAAAGGAATGAATGTTAGTCAGTAGTGTTTGAGTTAGTCTTGTTGAATTAGATCTGATATAGTATAGAAATATTTTATAATCCAAAATAAATGTCTTCACTAGCAATTACAGCTTAGTAAGTGTAAATACTATTAAGCAACGGAACATTAACCTGTCTGTGCCCTTCTCTTCTGCTTTTCAGCCAAAGTCTGGGCAATCCAAACAGAGCCGAGATGTGGGGCAGAGGCAGCAAGTGAGACCCCCAGAAACATAGCCCCTGGGCCTGCTGGTAGTGGGCAGTCCTTCAGCATGATTGTGGGGCTGCTTGTCAGCCCAGGACTCATTTATGCCACTAGCATCACTTCCCATTCTAGCTCCAGTAAATCAATCCCCTGTTATTTTAACTTTTGTTGCTATTTAATTTTATTTTTTAAATCACATTTAGGATGTTTTACCTCATCCATACCTTAACTGCACATACACAATTTTCATTTCTGCATAAAGTAAAAATTTTTCAATTTCTTCCCCTACCAACTGCAAGTTTTGCTGCTATAAAACAACTTCCCCTCACAGAACAAGCAAAAATACACCAAAAAAAGACAACCCATGCTCATAAACAGAACAACTGTCTGTTGATAATAAGGACTGTATTTATGTGCAGACTGGGAGTTTGTATTTTGGACATGATGTCCCTGCAGGCTGAAGTATACATCTCACATTCCTGCTTGCCTCGATACAAGATGTACCCTGTTCTCCCAGGGAAAATGGTCTGATTTTCTCTGTCTGTGGGATTTTGCTCTGAACCCAAAATGATCATGTCCTACCCAAGGTCAGTCAGTGCATGCTGTTTGACTCACTACTTTTATCTGACTAATTTTGCAAATTTCTAAAGGGCTTTTTGAAAACATTCTTTTACAGGCAGTTAGCTAGCCTTGTTTCACCTCCTTGACAATGAAAATTCCATTTTAAAAAATTATTTCATTTACAAGTGACAAAATTTTTATTTTATCAAGTCATATATATCTTCAACGTAAGCACACATAGCTAAATTTTGTCTGACCAAATACTTATTTCTTCCTGTTACCTCTGTAGAACAAAAAGGCATTATCAATGCAGTTGATGCTTCCACAACGTAATAATAACAAAAATTATTCAGACTGACTTTGCTCAGATTCACAGTAGCACTCTATTGCTGTGCAGTTAAGTTCAGGCTTTCTGTTCTCTAGCAATGCAAAGTCTTGCACTCATGTGGACAACTTGTTCAAGACTAATCAAATTCAATACACTAATCAACCTAATTAAACGTTATAACTGATAATACCTGATATAACTGATCCATTAAAGATGAATTGAACAGTAGATTTGACTTGACGTCTCCAGTGATATGATAAAACAAATGAGAGGAATTCAGGTTTCAGTACTGCTAAATAGGTTAGTTTCTTCTCTCTTTGGCTTATTTCCATTGGTAAACGTAAGGGGTTTCAGGTTGTTTTGAGTTTGATAGTTTTAAAATAGTGTTATATCATTGAAAAAAAGACTGGCATTATCTTCTGTATGGATTGATTTATTTTTGCCTGAATTCCCTCTGAACAGATTATTTCTATGTATACAAGGGAACTGGCATCTCAAACTCATCTGGTTTTGGTAATTCATCAACACAGACATCTGAAGAGGACAGTTTTAATACCTTCTTTTCTGAAACTGCAATATAATTTGTTAAAGACAGTGGAAGAATTATTGTAGATCTAGACTTAGAAACTGTGTGGAAAGGAATAAACATGCTAGAGTAAATCAAAACCTTTCCAATAGATAACCAATCCTGAAATTAAAACAATCAAGCATAAATCTCATCTGAAGAGCAAAATGTTCACTTTCTTCCACGTTTTCTCATATCTTAATTGGATGAAGTATCAGTTCTATTGAGTACCATTGTTTCTGTCTGAGCTGAGCTATGTTTCCTTCCTAACCTGAATTACTGGAAAAGTGGAGTTTTCATGAGTATCTCAACTGTTCCTTGCTCCAAAAAACCATGTCTGAGCTCACATGAGCATCTACATTCTTAAATATTTGAAGGCAACTGTCTGACACTTGCTTACTGTTTTCACTCTGGCTGCCCCACCCTCTGGCATTTTCAGGTGGTGTTAACTAGAATGAGGAAAATATAACATATTTGGTAAGATGCTATTTTTCAAAGGAGGACCAGAAAAGCTTAATTTTCTTTTTTCTTTTTTTTTTTTTTTTTTTTTTTTTTTTTTTTTTTTTTTTTTTTATTGTGGATTAAAGTATTAACTAAGTGAAGTAAAGACCATTTTATTGCAGGTATCAAATATAGTATCACAGTACAAATAACAGTAAATATTAGTAGGACTAATGAATCTAACATAAGTATTTCTAACCCAAACATAATTTAATCTGCTTATTAGAAGTGTTGCTGTAGTTCTCAGTTTGCAGCATTTTACGGATTACGAATGTAAATATACTGTTTTCAGTTCTCAAAAACATTCATAAAAGCCTTAGAGGGAAATGAACATCCTAAGACACACCTGTGTTAGAATATGTAGCTCTATGATTTAAAAGACACCTAAGAAGATAACCAATTGCTGTCTGCATATAATTAACAATTTGGACAAGCATCATATCTCTATCTGAAAATATATTGTTAACTAAAGTTTTATTTATCTTAGTGCTTAATAGTACCAGGAAATATTTACTGAAATCTGATTACACGATGGACTTTATAAAGTATTTCTGATGCAATGTCTTATATTTCTTGCCACTTTTGCACATAAATCCTTGTTCAGCTCTAAAAAACTTGTTCCATCATAAAACCAAATATTGCCTACAGAGCCTTAGAGCATGTGTACTCTAAATATCAGTAATATGGTTAGCTCTTGTCTAACATGAATTAGTTTAAATATGGATATGGCAGAAAAGCATTAGCATATCTATACTTATTATTTTCCTACAATTTCTGCTACAGCTGCAAATTTTAAGCAGCCTTTACCCTTTGCAGTCTTCAGTGCTACCTTTGCACTCCTCTGTCAACAGCACTATTGGTAGAGACAGCATGATCTAATATCCTGGCTTGCACCTTAGCAGACAACTCCCTTCTAAGGTCACATTTCAAAGAGCTTCTGTGAATTTTAACAGGTAGAGGGGATTAAAAGGAAATCTTCTGCAATACAAGATTTCATTAAATATATTTATGGAGTAGCTGAGAAGGCTAGGGGTTTGTTTATGTCTCTTCCTTTTTCAGTCAGGGCAGATGCCTGTCTTCTTAAATGAACACTTAAGAGTTTTTCATTTCTTCCTCATCATCACAAAAAATGTAAATGCCAGACCCTGCAGCAGGACTTAGCATTAAGAACTGCTCATTGCATGACTTCACCTGGCCCAAAAGGCTGTAGAAACCAGGTCCTTCCTCGTCCTGACTGGTTACTGGAGGGCTGGGTAGGGTTCACAGCTCGACTGGTTTTCACATCTCCCTTTTTGTCCTCCATGGTGGGGATCGCCACCACTGGGATGAGAGTGCACTGTTCGAGTGTGCCATCGGAGGACATAACTTCAGTGTATCCATCTTCACAACTGCACGTTCTAGTCTGTAGGGAACAAGTGTTTTACACTGTGTAGCAGAAAAACAGTCTTCTGTGAGCTATAAAGCGTAACAACATGGATGACTAGAAGAGAAGACTGTTTTGATGAACGCTAGCCTGAAGAGTACCTCTTCATATATTTTTATGCGGGATCGTACCAAATCAACAGAGATTATTCCACATTTAACTGAAAGGTAGAAAATGGTCTGAGGTTGATTTTAACAAATTCATGATTAGCAAAATCTCTGAATATAGTTTTTGTTGGCATATTCTTTGTAATTCAGAGAGATGTGTGGGAAGCCCTCATGGGGGTGTTTTATGCTCCAATGCAGTAGCACATACCTCACTGCAGTAAGCGTGGGGTTGACTGCACGGTGGGTTACATGACCTGTCAGCATCTGGTTGGCGCATCACTAAACAGCCCCCTGTAGGACAGAAAATCATATTTTGACATGGTAATACCTCACCACTGATTAAATTACTGATGTCATAACTTGCTACAGTATGTCATGGATTACAATTTTATTGCTAATTTGAGTTTAAGTGCCCTTTTCTTATTCCAAGGTGAAGGATAATTGGTGTCAAAAATCAGTTTATAGATAGAGTAAGGATACCGCACATGTATTTGCATTCATGTGCATTTTAGACAACTAATATTTGGCGAGTGAACCTTTTGGTTTTCCCTTTGCTCCTTTGACAGATTGCTCAAAAAACAGTTTAAGTGTTTTGCTGGGCTTGAGGAAACAGATTTTGGTTCTCTACAGCCCTCCTTATGACTTGCATATTAAAACTGTGGCCACAAAGAAAATAAAAGCATGATTTTGATTTGTATCTTTGCCTGTTAAACCGAAAACAAACCACGCATCGAGCTTATGAATGGATACCTGTTTTCTGCTGCTCCTCAGTAGCCACTTTTACACATGCTATAGGTTTGCCTCTTACGAAGCCACATTTCATGCTAGTTTAAGATTTTTCAGAAGTATTATCAGTAAAGCATGTACTGAATGCTTTGATAATGAAGATATAGTGGGTTTCAGTCTTTTTCCCTGTTATACAGACCTAGTTCTCATTTCTACAGCTTTATGTACAGTGCAGTTATTGTTATGGACCAATACACACAATCAGGCTTTCACTGTCATCTCAGCCAGAATGACTTCAAAGTACTTTTAGAATTAGTTTGAATTTAACTGGTTTCCTTCTAGCTTACAGAAAAGAGATAGACACCACATCGTTTAAAATTTATATTGCTACAGGATGACTTATCTTGCACATCCCAAATTACTAACATTTTTATACTGGTGTGATATGATGATGAAATCCTGATAACTGAGATTGGTCATGACCATAGCAGATGCAGTTAGATGTGGTTATGTAGATCCAAGTGTTAACAGGATGGGCAATGAAGAACAAATAAAATGCTGCTGGTTTCCATAAGTTTCCCCATCCCCAGAAAGGAAGATCATACATCCTAGCATACAAATCACATGCCTTTGGGAATCTATGCAATAAAATCATCCAAGGAAGCTGCTGAAGGAAAGAGTTGCTTCATCGCCCATGGGAAACAACACCTTCAAGTAGAAAAGAACTATTCAGCACAATAATATTATGCAAGTAAGTAAATAAATAAAGGCCTTAAAATACCAACAGGACAACTAATAAAAATTTGATAATGTCTGAATTAAAATACACTGTGTTAGAGCCAAACATGCAGCAACAAGGCAGCAAAGAAACACAGTAATCAGAGATATCGGTGATCCTAGATCAAAATAGGTAATTTCCGTTTAAATTGTGTATGTGCATCTATCAGTTTGAGCTCTTAAACTGTAGTTTATACAAACCACTTTCGAAAAAACACTTAAATTTAAATTACGATCTCATTCACAACTTTATACTTCATGCAGAGGAGTGTTCGCAGAACATTATACTTAAGTGCTTTGTTTGAAAACTATCAGGAACATCTCTTAAATACAGTTTTGCTTTGCATGGAAACTGGTGATTACATTGTCTGGAATTTCCACTAGTGTTCATTTCAAATTAGAAAGTTACCACAGCTTTAAAACCACGTACAAACAAACTTTGAAAAAAGATACAATATAGATCTGAGGTTAGTCTGCCTAAGAGGTCCCATCATGAAAAATCTGCCAATAGCACATATTCATACAATTGTCTTTCCCGGAATTTCCTGGAATCACATGGCTGTATTCAGCTACATCAGAACAAACTATTATTTTTATGTGACTGACTGTGATTTATGAATATATGCTGATTTTAACATCTCAGATCCATAATCACCAAGATGCTATTTATTTTGTAATCCTGTAGTACCTTTATTAGACAATAACATATATTAATCTCAGTGAGAATTATTACTTCGAGTTTTACTTACCATACAAGCATCTTAGCTAGGCAGGAAGCAATCAAGGTGCATAAATAATGCCTTGTTGCATTCATTATGAAGATGATGCATTTTAATATTCTTACAGCACAAGGTGACCTTTGCAAAAGAGACTTTGGGCTATTTATTATTTCAAAACCTTGTGAAAATAATATAGATATTTTTATTTCTACTGTTACAACAGACAGTAGTGGTGGATTCCATCATCAAGAAGTATTTGTACTGGGTGTCCATGAATGAGAGCTCCCCACCTGAAAGTGGCTATCATTGAGGATATGCTTACAATCGCTGTGATTCTTTTACTTCCACCTGGGCTGATATAAAAATTATTTAAAAAACAAAAGCATAACTCTTATCTTAAATGAATCCCTAATTCTGATAAATAAATTCATATAAATAGATATATATGAACATTTTATTGAATTCAAGGACGTCAGTCATTCTTAATTCATGGTGTGTTTATGCTTTGGTTTGTGCAAAAAGTAACTATGTCCCATAGTTGTCCACTGAAGTATCCTCCTATAAGTTTATGTCACTGAAGTAAAGAAATAAACTTTTACTAGCACATTTATTAAAATTTGATATTTTGTAATTTTAAAGAGATATATGATATATGCATGCTATTATGAAGCTTTGCATCTCTGCCTCTGTATAGGCACTGAAATGAACTTTAATACATAAAAAGTTCTATTTGTTGCAGGGCTTGAAATCTGAAACCCTAAATTTAGAAATGTAAAGATGTCTATGGTTAAAAAAAAATAAATTACACAGTGTAAAACATTCCAGGTCCAGTACAGAAGATAATGTTTATATTTATTTTTAGCATTACATAATTCTGCATAATTCTGGAAAAGAAATTACATCTTTAGTATGCAAAATATGATGATTTGAGACAACAGCAGGTTGATTCATATATCAGGAACAAGCATTTTTAGTAGATTCTTTTTTTAAAAAAAAGTTCCATTTGTTGAGAAAGGCATTATTCACCTGTTTTCAAGCTTTTGCATGTATAGAAAAAGAATATTTACCTGTGACGTTTAAGCCATCTGACCTTTGGCACCACACAGTTCGAGAAGATCCCTTCCATGGGCTAGCCATCCACTTGTATTCATAGCACTGGCCATCTACACAGAGAATATTCACTTTTCAAGAAATTTGATAACGTTTTAGGCTACCACTGGCAGCAGCCACACTCATCAGTAGACCATACTCATTATGTTTAAATGGTTTTTATGGCTAAATAGGCCCCTTCCTCCTTCACTCAGCAACTTAGAGGGGTACACTGCACACACGGAGGCCCCAAGGTCTCCTGCACTTACTGGATACATATAGAATAGACCAGATGTGTCCTGGACGCTAACTATAATGGCTGTACACGCTGCTTGTGAAGTAAGCATAATATAGTTAATGGGCAAAACAGATGTTTTCAATAACCTCATAATGGTTGTGGCCCATCTGTCACATAAAACTAATTCAGGAGTCATGTTCCTTTCCTGGCAACACTGAGCTTCAGGGATTGGTGAATTGTCCTGGGATGCATCTGGCTTCATGTCTCAGCTCTGCTGTACACCTCTCATACGGCCTGGGATAAATCATGAAGTCCTTCTGCACCTTAGCTCCCTTATAAATACAAAATTCCTTTTTGCCTGATCTGTCTGGCCTCTGAATGGACAAGAAATGTCTGTACAGGAAATTACTTAGATACTTTGTCCAGTACCAGCGGTAAGCATGACTAAGACTTTTTAATCCAATTGTCATGTGATTAGCAATTCAAAGGGTTGACAGAAACCTAAATTTGGTTATGTATCAAAACTTAAAGGTTTCTTTTTATTAATGTTATCAAACATATAAGGCAATTACTTTTCTCCCGTATCATAAAAGAAAATGTCATTATTAAAAAAGGATCATAAGTTCTCCAAAGATTGTGTTTAATGTGGTTAACATATGATAGCTAGCATTTAGAAGATTTTCTGTTTACAGCTGATATCTGGAAAATTAAAATTTAAGTGCATTTCTAGGTCTATCAAATCTTTATTTGCATATTTTGGATACTGTGAACAGAAAAAAACCCCCAAAACTATTGTTTTTCTGTCTTTTTTTCTTACAGGAAGGGGCTTTATGTACATTTTAATGCTTACCATTGCATGGTCTTGTTTCCAAAGCCTGTTCTGGACAGAGATGTTGATTCTCTAATTCCTGAATGATCACTGCCCGAGATCGGACCTGTATCCCTCCAAAGCCTAGATCCTCACCATTGACACAGGTTAGTTGACAAAGGCTCCACTCTGACCACTCTCTCAAGTAACAGTCGCCTGTCAAATAGCAATTTTACAAGATGAATGATCATCATATGTGAAGCTTTTCACACTGAATATGTCTTAGAAAAAAAATGTCTAAATTCAGTTTCTTAATTTTCCCTCTTCATAGTTTCTTTCATTCCTCTTTTTAAATGTGACATACTTCAGATAATATTTTGACACTCCCTGAATATCTGCGCAGTAGAAAATAGTAATAAAAATGTTATACGATCATAAGATCACTCTCAGTTTGAATTTCTGAGTAACACTCCAACCAATGTCTAGATTTTTCTAAATTGTAGGGTATTGTGCACTGTATGCCTTATGCTAAATTTATGTATCTTGTTCACAACTCTTCTTTCATCTTAGAGAGAAAAAACATTGTCTAGTTTTAAAAAGCTTATACTCATGCAGAATTTCTCTAAACAGACAGTAGAAGCAACTGCTGGAACATTCTTTGAAAAAAAGGGAAATGGGAAGGTGATTAAAATGTCTGCTCTGGCTAGTTCATGTTAGGATAATAGAGACTGGTAGAATTTTATCTTACAGAGTAAAACTGAAAAATAAAATTATACTAATGACACTAATTAGCATGATTGGATAAAGAACATTTAAAGAAGATCTGAGGCACAACACAAAGAGACCATTTTGTTAAAACTGCAGTACAAAATAGGACTAGACTGTGCACAGACTCATAAATAAACCTCAGTTCTCATTATTTCAGTGGAAGTGCTATTAAAAATTCATGCTACCTTGCATTATACTGATGACAGATATAATCAGTACTGTGTTGACCAGATGCCTGATTAATGAAGGAATTTTATTTGCCAACGTTAGGAAAGCATGTGAAGAAATTAATAATTGAAGAACTGATGTATACATAATAGGAAAACAAGTAGTGATTTTTGGAAACATTAGTTGGAGTGTATCATTAGTACATCCCCACAGGGCCGTTACTCTTGCTGGCTAAATGTGAGATTGCTGAAGAACAGGTTCCTGCTCAGCAAAATCTTAAAAGCAAGCAGTAAGCAGTTGGGTTTTTTTATATATAAATAATAATAATAATAAAACATAAATACAAGCTTTTTATTCTTACAATTTTCAATTAAAAAATACGTGAAAATCATGCAATTGGAACGCCATGCACAAAACAGTGATGGAAGCCTCTCTGGTTTTGATTATTTTCTATTTATTGAGGCAACTTTACCAGCCTGAAAGGAACTGTAAAAAATTCTGAGACAGAGGAGAGTCGCAAGAGAACAAAACCAGAATACTGGTATGGAACAATAGCTACATTAGAACTGAAGGAGTTAATCACTATTTCTGAAGATACATCACTAATGACTCTACTGAACAACAGCAATTTACTTCAAATTCTAAAATAAGTGTTTGAAATTAACTGGAGGGGTTTTCCTGGAAATTAACAGCTCTTAAGGGCTCTTTATCCTTCTCAGTATGAGGGTCATGGACCTGATATTTTATAACAGCTCCTTTGGATTCAGTCTACAAAGGCAATGATAGCACATGTTACACCCAGCAAGTTAAACATCTAGTAACACTCATATTTTCTCAGAGATTAAAGTATTAGTTTCAGTTGGAATAGCCCCTTTAATAAAAAAAAAAAATAAGACTCCCTAGCGTAGCTTCCTTAGACACCCATAAAAGGCATCAAGTTTGTAGCTACTATTAAAAGTATTAATAAAATTGTTAGGTGAGCTAAGCACTTAAAAACAAATGCTTAGTTATAAGCCAACACTCTTTCTTATAAAGTTAAATACAGGTTTTATTTCAAAAGATTTTGTGAAAAAATGTATTCTTATAAGGTACAATCTGTGACTGAGATGTATTTTATAAAATTTAAAATATGGTATTTTTTTCTAATTGATTTATTGTCATGAATCCAGTATGGAAAGTAACTGTTGGTCATTTGATGGATTAATTCAATCAGTAAAGCATGTGAAAAATATTTAACTGCCTGTGGCTAATGCTAGGTGCTGATAACTATAATGATACCCAACCAATCTCGAAATGCAACATTTATTTGAGTAGCTTTTTTACCTGGACAAGGGACAGTGCAGGTTTCCTCAAGTATCATCTTCTTATTACCATCTATAACAGGCTCTATTTCTCCACAGAATTCCTCATCTACTACTTTGCCAACATCTTCAATGGATCCATCAAAAACCACACAGGAAATGTTCCTCGCTCGTGTTCCCTCTCCACATTGAGCATCCTGGGGAAGAAGAATGCACATGCATGCTGGGCTGAACAAAGTGCCAGAAGACTAGATCTGAGCTACATAACACCCTGTTTTCTCTTATTTTTTGCTTAACTACTTATTCCACTGGGGGACAGGGGGACGGGGATGGGACAAGATGTGGACAGGACATTGTTCTTTACTTCTGAAACAAACAAACCAATCAATTAAAACAAAACAAAACAAAAACACAACCAAAAAAAACCAAAAAAAACCCCAACCACCAAAAAACAAACCCAACCAAAAATTCTGCTGGCTGCTGCCACTGTTTCTTAAAGTACACTTATACTTTATTTATCTGTAGGACATTGTTTTATCTGTTGACAAGTATAAACTTTAAGAATAAATCTTTAGTTTTTGTATAAGAGAAGAAAATTGTTTACAGTGTTATGAAGCAGGTATCTGAGCATATCACAAATATGCCTAGATATACAAGCTCCATACCTTCAAAGTCCTATATGGCTTTTACCTCTACTTTGCATGCAGACCACTGGCCGTATTGCCATCGATAACAAGGTTTTACTGGACAGGGTTTGAATTGCTCCATCTGAGATGGACAAGGCCTCCCATCACCCTGAAATGGCTGATTTACGGTCCTCCTTCTGATCATTTTTCCTGAAATAAGAAACAGAAATATAACTAACAACAACGTAGTTAGACTGATTTATTCCTAAAGAGGGTTCTATTTTGGTGAAAAGTGTTATGTTTGAATAAAGTAATTTCTTCCACATATGATAAATTAGATTGTAAAGCAGATCTGTTGGCTCTTGTCTGTTATATGAATTTATATTTTCCAAGTCAGACACTATATTCTATCATTTGTTTGTACTGCAAGAAGTGCAGGAGGATGTCTGATTAGGATTTCATATTGCTCCTGTAACAGCAAGAAAAGTAGTAATTTTCTAGTTCAGAAGCCTGGAGAAAAATATTCTTTCTGAACATGACAATATGTTTGTGGCACTTCAGTGGAGATTCTGTCTCCTCTTCTGTAGTCTGCTGCTAGAAGAGACCCCGAGTTAATCCAGAATCATGTATCCCATGTCGTCTAATTCCAGCAACCAGGAACAGCTTGCAAACTTCCCTCACTGTCTGTCTGGATAACGTGACATGCAGATTTTGCAGGAGATGGAGGATTCTTCACTCAGGCCCAAAGAAAATACAAGAGGCTTATCCAACATTAATCTTCTCTTCAACCATGAGCAGCACACTTACCCAGCATTATTAAGATACAGGTTCTATTTCAAATACTTATATAAACAGAAAAAGGAAGACATTTTTATCTTTTTGGCAACTCTTTCTTCTTTCATCTTGCAGTGGACACTAGACCATTATGCTTCATTACAGAGAGGTCATGTGATATAACAAAAAAAAAAAATTGTGTTCCAGAAGTAGTGGCAAAGTGGCTGATCTAGAGTTGGAACCTCTCAAAGGCTTTCACAAAACCAGTGCAGCTGTGGTATTTTAATCTCTATATAGATAAATATATGAACTAAGTCTGAAATAAGATGTGTATATTTAAATTTGTATACTGAGGCTTATAATAAACTAAGATTTACCTACATAACGCCTGTGTTACCTGGCCAAAACAATTCATCTTGAATTCCAAATTTCAATCAGATGCATTTTGAATTGAACACCCTAATGATCATGACATGAATCTTTTGCTGAGAGCAAGCTACACAAGCCACAGTGCAGCAGCAGAACTATATAAATCTTTCAGACAGCTGTGTTGACTGCAGCTAGCTAGAAAGGTGTTTGCCAAGTGAAGCCTCATCATTCTTGGATTCACAGCTGCACCAACTGAGATATCGCAGGAGAAAAAAGATTTTCTTGAAAGTACGGGAGGAAAAAAAAAAAAAACAAAACACAACAAACTGCAATGAGCAGAATTCTTACACACATAATTCTTCCTCAACTTTATGGGCATTTGCATGGGTGCACAAAAGTGGTTCAGCTTTGTGGTCACTAGGTTTATTAGATGGCTACTACTTACTGAAAAACAGCACTCACTCCTAGCTTCCTGCCTAATAGGAAAATTATACCTTCAAGGTTTACATGTGAGGTTGCCGTCACCTGTTAAAAATACTGAAAATTTGAAAGCTGTTTTACATTACTGCTTAAAATAAATTTTCTCACTTCTACAAATAAATTCTATACTTGGAAAGCAGAGGGATTTCAGATAGTGAAATTCACATTTTGTAAAAGCATAGCAGCAATAATTCTCATTCAGAAAAATATCAGGTCAGTTGTTCAGGTCTTGTATATAAACAGAAGCTTGTAAAAGAAAATCTGGCAACAAATTTAAGCCTTCAATACAGCTGTGAGTTCAGTTCTCGCTCTATAGGGACTATTTTGCAGATAGAAGTGTAGATTATTTGAATGTAGAAGTTGTGCTTTGAGAGAAGCTCAAAGAACTGAAACATTATTACATTATTAGACACTGAAGTATCAAATTATTAACTGTTACCATAAAAAAAATCCATAGGTCTTTCTCTTGGAATCCTGAGGTAGCCAGACCTTTCAGACATTTTTGCCTAGACATTTTCCCTGTGGTACGCTCCCCGAGGAACACAGATGCAATATCCTTTTACTCTGAGCCCAGCAGTTGAAATTGGATTCCATACACTGCTAACCATCCAATATCTGTAGTGACATATTCTGGACATGATTACAGAATGAAGAGGCTTCATAGATGGGCTTCCACCCTTCTCTTTCAGTAGTCTGTACACCTTACTTGCCTGGCTTACCTTACTTTACCTTACTTTTAGGACCTTATTCTGAGACATATCAGTGCAAATAAATAACATGAGTTCCTCTCATTAGAATGTGCCTTTGATAACCATTCGCTGACACAGGTTTGATTCAAAAAACTTAGAGAGGGGTTAGCAACATTTTGGGAAAAAAAAAAAATTAATGGGATGACCGTGAAAGTAACTTGTCCCTTTTCCCTTGTTCTATTTTTAAAAATATGGAAATCTGCACTGCATAATTTTGTTGGTTTTAATCACTGTGCTTTTCTTCATGTTTAGTTGTTCTAAATTCACCACTAACAAAATTTAAGAGGAAATCCCTTCCTCCTCTTCTGCTCCCACACCAGCAGAAAAATAAATATTCACATCAGTATTTGGTTTTGTCTCTATATATCATTCTTTATATGTTGTTTTGTTCCCAGAATCAGAAATTATTCTGGGCCAAATTCTCATTATCTTCAGTGAGTACAGTCTTACTGAAGCATATTATTTCCCTGAATAAGATGATTTACAGAATCACAGAATCATTCAGGTTGAAAAAGACCCTTGGGATCATCAAGTCCAACCATCAGCCCTACTCTACAAAGTTCTCCCCTACACCATACCCCCCAACATCTCATCCAAACGACCCTTAAACATACCCAGGGATGTGACTCCACCCCCTCCCTGGGCAGCCTATTCCACTGTCTGACCACTCTTCCTGGGAAAATTTTTCCTAAGGCCCAGTCTAAACCTCCCCTGTTGGAGTTTAACGCCGCCCCTTGTTCTGTCACTAATCACCTGTGAGAAGAGACCAGCACCAACCTCTCTACAATGTCCTTTCAGGGAGCTGTAGAGAGTGATGAGGTCTCCCCTCAGCCTTCTCCTCCTCAGACTGAACAGTCCCAGCCCCTTCAACCTCTCCTCACAGGATCTGTTCTCCAGGCCCTTCACCAGCTTCGTTGCCCTCCTCTGCACTCGCTCCAGCACCTCGATATCTCTCCTGTATTGAGGTGCCCAAAACTGGACACAACACTCCAGGTGTGGCCTCACCAGTGAAGAGCACAGGGGGTCCATCACCTCCCTACTTCTGCTGGTCACACTATTTCTAGTACAAGCCAGGATGCCGTTGGCTTTCTTGGCCACCCGGGCACACTGCTGGCTCGTGTTCAGCTGCTTGTCAATTAGAGCCCGCAGATCCTTTTCTTCCAGACAGCTGCAGCCACACCTCCCCAAGCCTGTAGCCATGCAGGGGGTTGTTGTGGCCCAAGTGCAGGACCTGGCACTTGTCCCGGTTGAAGCTCATCCCACTGACGTTGGCCCCCCGATCCAATCTATCCAGATCTCTCTGTAGAGCCTCCCTATCCTCATGCAGATCAACATTCCTGCTTAACTTGGTTTCATCTGTGAATTTACTGATGATACACTCTATGTCCTTATCAAGACCATCAATAAAGATGTTGAGCAGAAATGGCCCTAACACTGAGCGCTGAGGAACAGCAGTGGTGACTGCCAGCTGGATTTAGCTCCACTGACCACCACTCTCTGGGACTGTCCATCCAGCCAGTGCTTGACCCAGCAGACCATTCTCTCATCCAGGCCATGAGCAGCCAGTTTTTCTCTGAGAATCCTGTGGGATACTGTGTCAGCTGCGTTTAGAAAATCCAGATAGACAATATCCACAGCTTTTCCCTTGAGATTTAGATCCCCATCACTCTCCCTAGCTAGCTATATTTTGTACTTTTGCAAAAAGAGATATTATTGCTTTTATTAAAGAAAAAAAGAAAAAAAAGCTCAGTCTTTAAAACATGCCAAAGGTACATACTGACCTGTAAGGCCACATGTTTGAGAGCACTCAGACCAAGGGGACCAGTCAGAGAGCTGACAGTTCACAGGACATTCCACCACGCAGGATGTATTCATTTGCCATGTCTTCTCCAAACCAAGCTAAAAGAAAATATTTAATAGTCAAAAGGTAACACCTGGTCTGCGTCACTGGTGCAGGGTATGCATTTGGACACAGTGAATCTGAGACAACTAAAACTTTAAGCAAAGTATGAAGTCATTACTAAATAAAAAGTAAAGCAAGTAGGATGTTTAAACATCTCACTTCAAGACATTCCTAATGCATATACTGATTTTAAATACATGCTTAAATTCTATTTTCATCATTTATTTTCTAAATTAGAACCTATAAATGGAGGGCTTCATCTCTACAGTAAACTGTATACAACACTTAAAGGACAAAGTAATTTATGAAGTATCAATAAAGTATTTTGAAATAGGAGTATAAAAATACTGAACTATCAACAGCTATTAACAGATGAATTCAAGTGATGCTAGGAGCCAGGTTCAAAATTAACAAAAGAAAGATGAACATGCATTGGGCAGTCAGTTTATTTGTCAGATGTTGCAGATACTAAAAATTTACAGGAGGATCAAGAGAAACTGAACAAGTTAATGAAAAAATCTGAAGGTCTAAACACACATTGAGCAAATGCAATCCAAGAGCTGAAAACAAGCGGAAGCTGCGAGAAGAGTAGATGGAAATTTCTGTATATCTCTTCTCCTTACTCTTTCTTGGACATCTGTTTATGCTTCTTTTGTGTTTTTTTCATAACATGGTGTGTAAGTTTATTATATATATTATGTTATGCATTCTGCTGTATGCAAAAGTATTGTCATGACATTGACAATGATTTGTTCTAAAAGAAATATAGCTTTGCATATTTGCACGTTTTTCTGAAAAGCTTTGCAAAAAGCTGAACACTCTAACATCCCTGAAGTAAAAGCTGCAAATGCTGGAGAAATATGAGAGAAGGGGACATAGAAAATAGCCAGACACTTGTTTTCCCAAAAATACATTCTGTACTGAGCTCTTCTCTGGGCAGGAGTCAGCCTACCACTAACAAATGATGGAACCTCCACAGGGAAGGAGGAGTTTTGTGGCCATGCTGGAAGATGGCGCAGTGGCTACATGGTCCTTTGGTCTGATCCTGTAAAGCCATTTCTATGTTCTTATAAACTCCTATGCTCCAGATTTTCCCTATCCAAGGGAGAAAAGAGATATTCTCACTAACACACATGAGAATATATTACACAAGATGCAATACAATTGATAGCAAAAATATTAGCATGACAATAATTATCCTTGCAGCCTGCCCAATTTCAGAATGAGTTAAAAGGATAAGTTGATCATAGTGTGTATGATATAAAACACAAAAGAAAATCAATCGTTCCAATATGAACAGATCTGCAGTTTCCCAGCATAAAAGACTGTCATCTTCATTGACCCTCTCCAGTGGACCTTGATCATCATTGAGGCCTGTCAGAATCACAGGAGTTTGTGGATATCTTTTAAGTAGATAAAATCCCCACATAGTTAAAAAAAAAAAAAAAAAAGCAAGCAGCAATCTAGACATTTCAAAACTTATAACAACTGGAAAGGTTAATGACATAAAACCAGCAGTTAAGACTTTAAAAAGGAAATAAACCCACTATTTCCTACTAAATGCAAGCATAGAGCAATAATTAGGCACAACATTAGCATGTCCTCCATAAAGAAGCCACCACAAGTACTGGAAATGTCTCAACTTGATAGATTCACCAAGACTTAAATTTGCATTTGCAGTACCATTTATTGAGACAAATGAGGTTTTAGACCTCTGTTCTGTTTTATATATCAAAGAACAAGTTCTTGGCTTTTCTCTGTGGTACAGCATAACCTTGATTATCCAGCAATTGCACACAGACAAGACCTGAAACCTTTGGATAATCTGAAGTTTGGATAATTAGGAAACTAGAGAACTGTCTTTAAAGTCCATAGTTGGGTCAAATCTTCTGAGCAAAGGCTTTAAAGTGTGCTGAATTGATTCCTGCTAATTACAGAAACAAAACCGCTCTCTTTCAAGACTGGCCTTCTCAGCTTGACTTTGGCATCTAGAAAAGGAAAAGCCCAAGAAAGATATTAAAGGTGAAGAGAAGAAAGTTGAAGGCCAGATTACCCACAGCAATCTGCCATTTGCATGCCTTAGATACTGAAGTGCAGCTGAAATAGATTTGGGGAACAATTGTCAGGATGTAATTTGATATGAATCACATATTCTTTTCTCATCTCTCTCTTTCCTTCAATTGGTGAACGGCAATTCACCTTGAAGAGCTAAGAAAACATTTGGAAAAGTGTTCAGTAGCTCCCTTCCCTGAAAGAGCCTCTGTTCTGGATGAGTTGTGGTTTCTGATTTGGGAATGGCAAGTACCAGAGGAGCTACACTGAGAGCTACTGCTGAGCACCCTGTACTTCTGGTTGCACATGCCAGGTACAGTGGGCTGCCCAACCAGCATGCTCTATAAACCCTGTGATCCACAATAAGTATCTGTTTATAGGAACATTTGGCACTGCAGATTAACCTCTGCTGGAGGTTAATCATGTAATTTGACAAGCAGACTATCTGCCATTAAACCAGAAAAGTTTGCTTTCTAGTGCAGACAAAACTGCTGGTTTCTAGGCTTTTCTGATCTTTAATTGAAGGTAAATGAATAAAAATAAGATGACAAATATGAATATGACCAGGGCCAGCTTGCTTTAGGTGATCTGATTTTCAAAGACTCAAGGAAAAGACAAGCTGAATTCTTGTGATGTGCTAATTTTGTAGAGTTAGAGACCAAGTAATCCAGTTTTACTGTACCTTGAGAGTTTGAAGGGAACTATGTTAACATAACAAGGATTTGGACATAAGCTCTAGAAACTGATTTATCCTGGCAGTAATCAGGATGACTGGATAGCTTCTTTAGCTGATTGACTGAAACACACAAGATCATATGAACGCATCAGGAAACCAGAGCACAAGGTCTTGGAAAAAACGTTTGCATTTAGCTATGCTGATGCTCATAGCTGGAGATGGTGATAGTCAAAAGACAATGTGAAGTTGGGGTTTTTTTGTCTATGGCTTTTATTAGTTTCTTGAACCACATATTATATAGGAACTCAGACGTTGCAATCAGGCTTCTTCATTTCTTAGGGATCAAAATACATTTAACTGATCTCTCTTCTTTGTATATAGTAAGAATCATAATTCTGTAAATGTATCTACACATAAATGAAACAAAACTTTTGGTTTATTTACACATCCAGTATAAAGTTTTATGATAGCCCAGGGGAACTTCCATTAGCTAAGACAATATAAAATTATTTCATCTTTCTCTTATCATCTACTTTTCTAACCCCATGCACCTTATTTTGAACTTCACCTAATCCTTCTGCACTGCCCTTATAATACAAAAAACACAGGAAAAAAATCCCACCCTGAAGGATCACGTGATTAGATTAGTAAGAGGGACATAGTATGTATTCACATTTTGATAATTTCTTGAATATTCTCCTCTCATGACCTGGAAGGTAACAGAGTTGGCTTTCACATCTTCAGAGTGAAGGGTCTGGTTAGATCTGAACAGCTTGGCTTTCTTAATCAGTTAACAGGTTTTACTCCTCACAGTTATTGGATCAGCCTTTGACCTTGTTGTACCACTGCTTACACATCCATAATTCAACAAATAGTCTTAACAGTATGACTGGGGAGTGGATTGGAGCTTTCTACATGAAGATGTATCTCTCTATGAGATATAATCTATAATCAAAAGGGTAAATAAGACTGTATCACAGTGGTTGCTGATAAAGCCAGGACCCCACTGCAGTGATGTCTGTTGGCCAGTCAATTACAGCAATTAACTTTTGAGATATTATCTTGTGGCCCTTATTATTTCTCTGAGTAATAAACTTTCATTTCCTAAATGCAGGAAATCTCCAGAGATTTTCTGCAATGAGATTTCAGTGTGAAAAGTCATCATTTGTTCTAAATGTTGCTCAAAATCTTTGGTTAACAACAGGAATAATTTCTTGGTTTTATGGTAAAAGAAATGTATATCCCCTTAAAATCTAATAAAACATATTTTTTTCTATTGAAATATTCATGTGGATGGATATTTTATGTCATGTCTTGGTATAAATTAATCAGTATTGCAGTCTCTTGCCAAAAGACCAATTTTTTTTTTTCTTTTAATGCCTTAAAACATTAACATAATGCATTAGCCAGATCCTGAGATTTTTCTTGAGACATAAATGATACAATTATTAGATTTGATAATAAACCCAAGAGCTACGTGTGAAGGAGGAACATGGCACAAAAGCAGGGTACCAGACTGAAATGCTGGGGTTTCAATCCCAAGCCCCAAATTAAGGTTGACATATGGGTGATTCCCACAGCCCTTCACAAAGGGGGGGTGAGTTTACCTTCAGGCTTCCCTCCAGGGTGCGGCCAGCCTGGCAGGGAGAGACATTGGGTAAATGAGCCCCAGGTGTCTGCATTCAGTAAACGAGGGTCAGGTGTCCCACTGAGGGATAAAAGCTGGGACCACTTGCAGGAAGGGGCAGTGTCTGTCTGTGAGGTGGATGCACTCTGCAGAGTTCCCTGTTGGGGAAGGACCTCCTGCCTCCCTGGGACTGGGCTCCAGTCAGGTCTGGCCTTTGTAAACGTGGGCTGTGTAGAGATTCAGTATGTGGCTTTCTTGGTCTTATGTATTTGGTTTGTTGACTTGATTGTCTCCTGTCCCTCCTATGGGAGACTGCATTTCACCATTTATTCCACCCATTGTTGATTGTGTGGTGTCATTGTTGGGGTCAGTAGGATTGATGTCAATTATGTATACTCTGACTGACTTGTCTGTACCCTCAGCGCTCACTCATATACTGACCCTTTTGTATCAAATACAATTTGGTTAGTGGTTCATATTTATGCTGGCTCTGTCCTTTATGCAAGGCCTAATAACTGGCAAAACACAGACTCAGCTGAAACATCCTGCCTTTGATAAGAACTTACAGATTCAGGAATCTGAGATGTTAGAGGGGATTGGAGAAGCCCAAGAAGGTGAGCTACACTGTTACAAAGCTATGCTCCAAAGTATGTGATGAGTTTCCTGACTCCCTCCACTTGTGATGAAACTCTGCTAGGGGCATGTCCTGAAGAGCAGCTACTAGCCAAGGAAGGTTTAACAGAAAAGGTGTTGGTACCAAAGCTGCTGTGGAGATCACTTCACCTTAGTCCCCTATTGCGAGTGATTTTGTTTCTGATGTCAAGATGGTGGGGGAATGGCAGCTGAAACAAGTTCAGTTATTTCCCATCAGAAAAGCATGTAGGATTGCCCTTAATGTAGCACTTGTGTTGTCTTCCCATTTTCCTTCACATTACTGTCTCCATGCAATTAAAAACATTAAGAGCAACACACAAAATGTCAGAAAACCAGTGCTGCTAAATTTGAAATTAGTTTGAACATTTCTAAAATGGCTCTTTCAAAATTTAAGGGCTCCTGACTGCTAATTAGTTCTCCATATAGGCTCCTATTTAATATTACATTCATGCTGCACATTTTTTCACACTAGCTTGGGTATCTTTTGCATTGCACAGCTGGATACAAGAAGTTAGCATTCAGCCCAGCTGCAGAATGGCATGTGAGAAATGTTTTCCAACACATTAAGTAAATGATTGATACTGGCTGCTGTCCAAGGCTCCATGAAGAAATTGTATCAAATTAGAAAGATGATTAGTGTTCTGATTAAGATTTATTATCTTTATTCTACTTTATTAATTATTGTTTCTAAGTCATTTCCTTCAGGACACAATAATTAGCATACATTCATGGAGGCACTTAAAAGTAACCGAAGGAAATTGTATAAAAATCACCGTTGATGGCACAGTTCATTTCAGAAGTACTTAACAATCCGTGAATAGTGTTTCAAAACATCTGGTGAAGATGGCTTAATGCTGTATTGCTCGGTTGGCTCAGCATTAATTAGCACCATTAGAACGGAGCTTACTCACAGGTACCCACTCACCTCTTCACAGTACTTCAGGTCAACCGATTTGCCATCACTGCGAACACAATCGAGCATCCGTGTTTTGATACCATTACCACAGACAGCCTTCTCGCTGAGCTGACATGTGCTCCAGTCTGGAAATAAGGAATTCATTAGCGTAGCAGGTATTTTAGACAAAACTCAGAATGATTCAATCTCCCATCTAATTCTCACGGTCTAAAATAATCCTTAAAAGCAACTTCTACACATCCAAAGGCCTATGAAGCCCAGCTGCCACACATTTGTGGAAAAAGCAACTTTTACTGTAAATAGTCAGTGCCGTGATGCCTTCATAAAAAGTTTGTATTTGGTTTTGTGTGCATGGCTTTTGAGCAAATCACAAAATGGTAGGAGAAATAAATCTCCTGGAGTTACAGAATGCACACTTCACCCAAGTTGCAAACCCTCCAGTAATATTTCGCTTGGATCAAATAGCCTGAATCAGTTTTCAGAACAAGCTCCACATCTCCCTCTGGATAAGAACCAGAAAGCTGAAAAATCTGTCCTGTAAGGTGAATGGAAGTAAGCCATAGTCCGAGGCTGTCACTAGAGCATAACACCACAAATACCTGTCACATTGTAGTCATAGTGGTAGCAGTTTTTGTTCAAAGTGCAGACTTCTGTCTCTGTGGTAGCAGGACAAGACTTTCCATCATCTGGTTGTCTCAGAGATTCAGCTGACCTTTCGCGGACGCTACTTCCATTGCATGGCTTGAAAGGGAGATTGGAAACAGCTCTGATATTTTGGTGCCTTGATACCTTTTCATGCAACATTACAACCACCTTTCAAGTAACCCCTTCACAAAACACAAATGTAACATAATGGGCTCATGCTGTTGTGTAAGAGAAACCATTTGTTTGTTATTTCAGAGAGAATTTAATCTGCTCTTTCACCTTGGTACCACCCAAGGTGAAATTTCCTCTTAACTTGGTAACACCTCGATACTTTCATAACTGTTCATGTTTCAGTACTAGTGCTTTGGAATGATTTCACTCATAAACTGGATATTGAAATGCTCACTTTCCAAATGCTGTAATGTAGTGCACCAGAGCCCAAACACTCAGAGGTCCTGAAACATTTTTTTATGTTTGATTTGGGTTTTTTGAGATTTCTTTTAGAAATTGCTTGGAGGAAGGGGAGAGGAAAACCCAAAATTATCCTTCTGTGCTCAGTCTTGATTTACAGACTTTGCTTGTTCCAGGATAGTGACATCTTTAGTACAGTGACTGAACTGCTATTTAGAGGCTCACAGCTATACTCAAAGACAGACTCACAAGCCACTGCCAAAGCTATTCCACCACACAGAACCCATCCCACACTGAAGAATGACCACTGGGGATATTATATTTTGTGTTATGGAACAATTTCAATGAACAAAAAATACTGGCACACTTTATTTGCAACTATCAACCACCCTAAAGTTGACAATAAAGATAAATATTTACACATGTAATCCTGCTCAATTCAGCATCTTTGCACAATATGTCATGTATATATTTTTGAAGTATCCTCCTAAAACTATATATGTTACACTTCAGTATACTTCTTACCAAAGAACATCGAGACCATGATCCCCATTCAGACATAACACAGTCCTCAGGACATGGTAACGTGCATTTTCTAGCACCAAGCGGCATCTCTTCAGGATCACAGAGATAGTCCTCTACAGTGTCAGAAGGACCATCCACAGTGTTTAGCATGCACCTGGAAAAAAGAACCGCACATAAACTGCATTTGCCATGGATTTTGTTCAGTAACAGTGTTCCATAGTATTCTGAAGCATTTTAACATTTTGCCAGTACATAACAATCATGAAGCAATTGAGATAACACAACTAAGTATTGACCTATCAATATCCAAGAAAATCTGAAGACCCAAAACTAATCCTCATTTTTACAGATGACAGCCATATAAAGAAACATACAGAATTTAGATAGTCCCTATGAGTGATTTGCCAAGAGCTTCTGGGCAGGTGATTTACTTGACATTATCTAAGCCAGAATAATGCAAATAATCTATCGTTTAGACATATTTTCTGCATGCTTCAACTGATAACTTTCAATCTATCAATCTAGAACTATTAAAACTTTTAAAATTTTATAGTGTCAGTATTAATCCCTAATTTACACAGATGCTTTTTAAATACCATTATACTTAAAACAGATGGAGGCACAGTTAAGATGAAAAATTAGTATATTTAGCTTTGTAGAGCTGAAGATGACTGTCTTCATTCCACAGTATTTCCAATGCTGTGGCATCTACTGTTAACATATCCCTTCCACCTGTCAGCAAAAGACCAACTAGTACATGGCTACGATCATTCAAACTAAGAGGCTTGCATCTATTTTTCAAAATTGCTTGTATCAGCAGGAAGCCTTTCATACACAGAGAAATATTTGGACTTTCTTCCATTTGACCATATTAATTTTTTTACAAACAACTTACTTTGTCATACTAAACTAGTTCTTGAAACACTCTCTGTTCTAATGTAAACACAAGAGATACAGCATGAGCATCTATTAGCTATGTGGAATTAGTACTTTAATGGCATTATGTGATAATAAATGAAAAACTAGATGTTTTTAGTCCCAAAGGGCTGAAAACACTTTATTTTTTTATCTTTGATGGTAATTTAAAAATCTATATTGCAACATTAACACTGATTAATGTTGATTTTTCATATTGGAGGAGTTTTTAAGAGTATTCTTATGGGAATTTGTTTAAATGCTACTGTGTGAGAACAGTTACATTGGTCAAGAAAATATAAAGACTGACCTTCTTGAAGTAAATGCTTACTTCAGTAACAGTGCTATTGTAAACAAAATTCTATAAATGTGTCAGTTTCTAAGCTAAAGAGAACATTTAGCAGTTTACTGTATACAGCTCTCATTTTGGACCTTCACACTGAATTTACATTATGCTTTATTATTCAGAATTATAATCTCAAATTGTGTGTCGTTTTGTCCTTAGCTGTTAAAGAAATAAAACAACCTCCAGCCAACCCAAACGCCATGTACTCCTTTACTGGCTATTGTATCACGCCATGTGAAACTAATTTTAATTAACCTTTGATTAGAGCTCTAGGATGATGAGCAAGCACAGATGCCTAGATCAGGTTCAATAACTAACAGATTTAGGGATTTTTCTATTTCACTTCATTCACTTTTGCCAATTTTTTTTGTGTAATAACTATTATTCCCAAGTGCTTATGTACTTTAAAGGGTCTTCAAAATCATAGTTTCATACAGAAAGAGCACTACTTCACCTTTACGAAAAGCACTAAAATCATAACGTTACAGTGTTTGTGGTAGTGTAAGTACAGTATACATTGGTTTATAAACTAGGAATTATGGTCTATATCCATAATCAGTAGACAGAGCCACACTGCACTCACTGAAGCTATTCTGATTTACATCAGTCAGGGTTCTGGTCCAGTAAACTATGGTTGGACTTAACACTACACATTACACAAAAATACATCAAATTAAATACAGCGATAACTGAAAGTGAGGTTCTCTAAAGTGAAGAAGGAGCAATACTGTTTTACCTGACTTTCCTTGTTTGAACACCTTCTCCACAGTTCTCTTTTAAGTCCACATTTGTCACCTTGCAGACACTCCATGGCTCAGTAACCCATACGTACTGGCTGCAGTCACTGTGGCAGGGGACTACCTCATATACCTGGAATCCACATTGAGCAACAGTTTTGTTGCACACAAGTAAGACAAACATGCAACAGTGATCATGCAAAAAAAGGTTAATGCTCTTTTTGGTAAGAATAACAAATGTAAACTTGCTGATTTAGAGGCTGTAGTAATAATACAGATAAAATACTTGATAGAAAACTACTGAAATAACAAAATGAGAAGCTAAAACATCTAATGACAGATTCCCTGGTTTTTGCTGCCACTAAGCCCATTCTATGCCATTTCCATGCTTAACATCAACACAACTAACATAAAACCTTACAGGCTAGCTCATGAACATACCTTTTAGAAAAATGCTGCTAAAACTTTACTTCCATTCTTCACATCTCTCCCCATCTATTCTGTCCCACTGTTATTATTTGTGGGTTTTTTGTATTTCTATAGAGAAGTGTACTCAAGGTAAATTATACCAATGTATACCGTTTCACTTTATATTTCATTGTGGAGACTTAAAATCACTCTAATATATTTGTGTACCCAGCATCAGCATTATGTTTAGATTTGAATAAAATTTGAAATAGTATCTTATATAGTAATTTATATAGTGTTCTATATATTTTCTCAAACATACATTGCAAAAAAAGGACAGACAATGTAAACATTGGAGCACAATCAGGAAGCACAAGGTAATATCTCTTTATTTTAGAAACTCTTACCTGAGCCTGAAGAAAGTATTTTCATGAACCCAAAAGAAAACCAAAGATAAAAAGAAACAATGATTAGAGTGAAGCATAGGTATTTAAACGGCATTCATTTAGCTTTTATCACAAACAACATTCTATGACTTCTGCCAAGCAAAATGTATCCAATATTTCCTCTTGGATCTCCCTTGCTGTCATGAGGTGTTTTGCAAGAAGTTTGCCCTTGGAAGAAAACAGAAGTTTATAAACCACAACTAGTGGGAAGAGACTGTAAATTGGCATCTCTTTTTCAGTCTCTAACATACAAAAAAACTGTTTTCCCTTTTCACCAATAATGAGCATCAACTCCTCACACAGTAGGGAACCCAGTTCCCCAAGACAAGAGAAAATCCTCAGTGGTTTTGGAGGGTACTGGACTTCTCTATTACTTTAAATTGTTCTGACAGCACTAAGTGCAATAGATTCAGGGGAATGAAAGGAATTGGCAGTTCTCATCCTTCCAAACTTCCCAAGTCATTCATCGAGTATCTTCATTATGCATAGATTGCTTAAAGACCATTGCCTCAACATTATCTTATATCAACTAACTTCACATATCATTCTGGGTATCAAGTCAGCACAACTAATATTTCTAGACAATCTAAGACATTGTCTTAAATGAGTCCTTGATTTCTTTTTTGCAGCACTGCTTGGGTAAAATAAGGGGGCTGGTGGCATGACAGTTTATCAGTTAACCTGAAACAAAATACCACCAGTCACAAAAAAGTAATGTCTTGGACAATGAATGCATAGAGAGTCTGATATATCACTATGCAGCTGATCAGCCCATACACAGGACGACCAGGATAGTCAGAATATTTGGTCCTTCTCTGAACTATGTAAGCATTAACTCAGGCATAAAGATGGGTCGTGTAAATGCATGTTAAGGAAGGTACTGAACTCCGTGCACAATTTGTAGTCACATGGGAAGTGGCTATTTATTCTTGTCCAGGATTTCTAAAATGAGAATAGGGAAACCTTAATTTAGAGAAATGTCTCTATATTTCTCACCCTGGTTGGCATAAGAAATACATAAACCCCAGATATTCAACAACCTTTCCAGTAACATAAAAATTGGATATCTTGCTGGAAAGCCAAAGGAGTACTCTGTATTGCATTGCACGTGCTTAGTGGTGTTCTCCTGACCCTACTGCCATTTTTTGTAACTATGACTGCAGTGCAAGTAACTATGACTGGTGGTGCAAGGATCACATACCCACCTGCTGGATAAGGGGGAAAATAATGCCTGGAGACAGTGAAGAGAGGGATGTCCTTATTTTCTCTAAAAGTCTCCGACTAGTTTCTTCATTTGAAATCCTCTGAAGGCCATAGACATTGGTTTATAATAAAGCTGATGTTATTATTATTATTGTGAAGACTTTTAGACTAGTGAAGTGAGTGCTGAGCAAGCCTCATTCACTTGGAGTGTGGTTTGGGAGTCACCCTCACATACACGGCTCAGGAGGAAAGACACTCACTGAGACATCTAGAATTCATCTAGCTCCCCTCCAAAATACATGTCAGCCCTGAGTGACATTGAACAACTTACTCTTAAAAGTTCACAAACATCTTAAGCTCTTTATTTCAATGTCTCACTAACCTTACTTTTACAAAGTTTTTCCAAGGCTTAACCCAAATCTGCTTGCAGCAGTCTAAGCCTACTGCTTTTTATCCTATCCACGATGGGCATGGAAAATGGATTATTTCCTCCTTCTTTGCAACAGCCTTTTATGTACACGCTAGCAGAGTGCCAGCACCCCCCCTCCCATCTTCTCTTCCATGGGCTAGACAACATGTTGCAGTCTTTCCTTAGAGTTCATAATTCCTAGATTGCGGCTTACAGCATGGTTCCTCTGTTAATTATCTTTCACATACTTGTGGGTCCCATCTAACCATTATGCTTTGTATTTATGCAGATAACATGTTACATATCTAAGCAATAAATACATCAATAAAACAAATTACATTTAATAACTGAAATAAATATTCTGAAGAATAATTAGTTTTCCATCTTAATAGATGGTGGATCACATTTAGATTAAATAATTAACTCAAAATTGGAATGCACATGTATTTTCTGCATGTTTCTGAATTGCCAGTGAATGCATTTAAAATTAAAAGATACAGCCTCTATATTCTTCGACATTCCTAACTTAACTGTAGAACTCCCTTGTCATGTAAGTACTATATTTCAATTTTGTTTTTACAATAATTACATTTTGAATGATCTATTATTATTATTTAGCAAGTACCATGTATGATTGCAACAAATCAAATTCGAGCCAAAGTACCAGTAGAGGGCAATAGTGTTGCATAAAAGTGGCTAACAGACCTCTAGCAAAATCACCTTTGATGCAGAAAAATACAAGCTTATTATGTACTACATGAATATTAAGGAAGGAAAAAGACTTCTCTATAGACTATAATTTGCTTCTATTGAAACACATTCCTCCTAATTTAAAGCATATTTACATGCTGACCCAAATCCAGCAAGCCTCTATTCTAGTTTGTATTTTGTTAAAGTAGATCACAAACTTAGTTTATTAGCTGCAGTTTAACACTTATTATTTTCTAAATTAGAACTAATTACATTCTCTAAAGTAGAAAATTAGATCAACAAGCCATTTCACTCTGTGCTAGCAAAATGTCAATAGGATAATATTAAGTACATGCATTTTTATTCAAATGTAAATTGACAGCACTTTTTTTTTCAATCTTTGAATATTTAGAGAGAAGACTGTGTGGCTGTTTAACATGCCTCTGCAGACTAAATTAAATTCAACAGTAATATGAATATAAATCAACTCTGAAGAGCATAAGTTAATTGACAAGGAAGGTTTTTCTTTCTAAAACTCTCCAAGCAAATAGGAGCTTCGGGGTTTTGATTTGGACTAGTGCTAAACTTGGTCTCAAAGACTAAATGCTCATTAGTGGTCAAAGCACTCCCAGCGTTCTCTTGGATTACATCTTCTGGCTTAGTTTCACTTGGAGAGGATCCAGACTGTGCAGCCAGACTGATCCATACTGGAAAATCAAGTGGGGTTTAGTGGGACAACTGGGAGATTGACTTCAGAAGTGCGTTCCTCACTGGAACTGCAGTGTCAGGGCAAGTGTACCTGAAAGGTCAAGCTCAGCCTGACTAAAACCCACTAAGGGTCACTGGGTTACTACTGTTTGAGTGTTTGAGAAGTTTCAATGTGTTTTCTAAGACGGTCAGGGAATGACGCTAAGAATCTTACCAGTCTGAGCACCTGTAATGAGACATTTTAACCATTGTAAGAGAAGATCTTCAGAAACGTGGTCTTCACAATCTGCATGTAAGAATGTTTTATTGTCTGCAAATTGCAGTTCAGACATTGTGATGAGTTCCTGTAGATGAGGAAGTAATGAAGGCAGATCCTTTGCTGATTGAGGAAATATAAGCCAGCACACGGATCTCCTTCTACCTGCATCTGCTCCTTATGTTGTAGAGTTTTTTAATATCAACAAACAATACAGCTAAAACGGTTTCTGAGGTATGGAAAAAGCTATATCAATAACGTAAATATAAATCGAATTACCTGATTGACATGATCTAGCTTTGGACAGGGTCTTCCACCATTGTAGGGTTTTTCACGAAGCCATTTAGACCGAACCTTTACTCCACTCCCACAGGATTTACTACAGCGAGACCAGTTGGACCACTCACTGAGCTTGCAGTCTGAGGGACATGGAATAATACAGGCTTCCTCAATATAACCTGCATGAATGGAAAAGAAAGTGAAATCTCTTCAGCATGTCACTCTGCCACTTCTCCCTGAAGCCCTCGTCTACTTCATTTAAATTGTCCAGAGTTTGACTTGACAGGACTGTGTGAATAGAGAGATTTCTTCATCATTAGGGCTAAATTAAATTCTGCAGAAAATTGACACATATAGCTGGGAGACTGTGTTATAGTAGCAGCTGAGCATCCTCACTGCGATCTGATTAGGATTCACACTCACCAGATTTCAGCATTCGAACTTTCTGACAGCTACAGTGTAATTGACACTAAGCATCTCTTGGTTGCATCATTATAAAAACAATATTATTCTTTCCAAGTTAAAAAGGTTTAATTAAAAGCTTATCAAGCTTTTAATATCAAGTAATTCAATTGCAGTTATACCTCAAAAATCCAACTGAATCAGAAGATATGCATCTTACCAGCCTGGAGCGAGGGAACTTAACACCTTGTGACCTTTCTAAGGCTAGAAAGAGAGAGTGGCCTGCCACATTAATGATCTGCCGATTAACAACCATCTGCCCCCAGTAGCACACTGAATAATTGCACTGAATGGAAAAGCAGATGTTTGGTTTGGATAAGTCATCAGTCCTGAGAGGTTGGAAAGGGGTATGACACGGTCTGCAGGGAGTAACATGAGGCCTCAATTCACTGAATGTCTTTCAAAAGCAACATATGTCATAGCTCTACAATATGTGTCATTTATGCCAATATTTACAGCAGTAGCTATAAAACCTCAAATAAAAAGCTGGCCTTTACTGCATTTTTACTACAGCTATACCTTAAACCTATATGAACTCTCCCTTTTCCTGTGTCAGATCTGCAATGTATTTAATGTTGGCAAATGTTCACTTTAAAGATTAAAGAAGTCTCGGTGCATTTAAAGGGAGTTGACATATTTGATGAACACAGTTGCAAAATTAAGACATAATTGGGTAAGATCATTCTCAAATGACTGGCAGTTTGCTAGGCATGGTTTAAAATGTTTCTCACATATATTGAATTGGTTTTTAGATTGAAAGCAATCACTGTCATTTTCATCAGAGCTGACGTTAGCAGTTTTATGTTTTTAACCTGTACTTCCAAGTAAAGCTATTCTGTCTCTGCTAAAAGCAACCAATACCAAACCATCACAAATTGTGTAAAGAACTGAAACACTTAGAAGATTTCAAATCTATATACATATTTCTAGTTGCTTCCGTTCATTTGTTTTAGATACAAAGAACAGAAAGGTGGAGTTTTTTTAAACATACAGTAACATTCAGAGTATTTTATGGTCAAATTCGGGTGATGAATTTATCCTATATAGCTTTATTTTGTTTGGAAGTGTTAAACAGGTAAATAAACAGATAGAGCACATCCTGAATTTGAGCACTGTGAAACTACTGTTCACCAAATGTATCTTCCTTAAAACAGCTAGAATATTATTAGCTTGAATTACAAGCACATTTATTAAATATCTCTCGCCATTGGATTGATCAGCTCAGTGATACTGAAAGGTACACTGTGTTAGACTATATTTTTTAAGATCACTGCATATCAGAGGTGGTGACATCAACTGCTTGCAGCAGCAAATACAAAATGGATTACGTTTGGCCCTACCTGAGATCTCTGAGAGAGTCTTAGAAATCAGATGCACCCTATCTCAGAGCCCCATCCTACGCTGAACTTTGCATAAATATTAAACTCTGTATCTTCACCAGAAATGAGCTGTCTTAGGTGCTATACAAAACCATACTCATACAATCAAGAAATTACTGAATGAAACTGCACGATAACAAAAAAGTTAAAACAACTCTCTCCAAGCAATAAAACAAGTGTTTCATGATATTTATTGTCTGATAGAACTAAGTGAAGATTTTACTGCTCTGTGAATTTTCTTGAAATTCTGAAATGCTGACTTTCAATATGACTTCTAAGGATGTTTGTTTTTTTTTTTTTTCCCCTGGAGAAACCCTTCTACTATAACACAGTTATGCCATTTAGCATTTGTTAAATTTCTGTCTTTGTAACTAATGTCTGGAAGAAACAAATTCAAGTTTTAAATATATGGTACATCCTTAAGTAGGTAACTTTAACCAGTACACGCTGCTTCAGTAACATTTTAAGGACTTCCATAAACCTCTGAACTATCTTAAATTGGTCTTAATTAATCTCAAAGGGATCATCCCATTCATACAAAATGTCCAGGATATCATGATATTTTGGGACTTAGACAACTATAGCATGGGAATACTTCACAGCCTAGCAAAAGGAGCCTGTGTGGAACATACTAAACTAATATCATTGACCAATTAGAAACTGTTTTGCTTTATTTCCCTTCAGCTCATCTAAATGAGGACGATAAAGGTTTTTTTGAGATAATGAGAATGTTAGCTAAAAAGTTTAACAAGATTTGTAGAATCTTGCAGACAGATGTGGTAACAAATACATTATACTATACCAAGTACCAGGTAACATTTTAATTACACTGAGCTATAGTTCAGGTGATTCCATAAAGTATCAATTAAAACCATATCACTACAGCAACCTTTTTTCACACTATGAAATATCTACATTGAGGTCAGCCACTAAAACTGCTTTAGCATAGAATGCAATAAAGCCAGAAGAGCATCATATTACAGGTATAGTGTCTTTGTAAGAGTTATAACATGGAAAATTACAAACTTGTTTATATGTTAACACATTTTGGAGAGGATGCAGTGGGCCAGCTGATATTTCCAATCCACTTTATAATGAAAAAATACCGAACTGCGATGTTACACTGGGTTCTTAATCCTACAAGCTTCATAATATAGTTTCTGCTCACCATATAGCTCTTTCCTATGCCATATCTAGGATACCTGGCCTGTGGTGCTCTCCCCTCCCTTCTTCCTATTTCCTCAGAAAAATTGGCATTAAGACCCAAACTCCACATGTGAAAATTAACCAGCTGAACAAGAAGAATGGAAAAGACACATGAAGGAGACAACAGAAATGGACTCAATCACTGAAGGTATAAAAAGAAGCTCTCCAAGGTGGGAAGGTTTGGAGCTACTGCAAATGTGGAACATTTTTGGAGAGCAGTGAGAAAAAACCACCTTATTATGCAAAATGCAAGACAAGCATAAAAACCTCCTAACCACTAGTATATACTAAGAACACTGGATAAAAAATAGCTCAAGGACATGAATGAATAAAGGGATCCAGAAAGGGGTTTCACAGTTTCCAAGACTCCAAACAGGGAGAAAAGAAAATAAATGACTGAAGCTACTTTTCACAGCAAAGAGTCAGAAGTCAATACAACAGAAGGGACACAAGACAAAAGAGGAGTGAGGGGGAATAGAGGAAAGGGTAAGAAAAGACAAGGAGAAGGAAGAGAAAAATAAATGGCTCAGAAAATAGCATCAAGACAATTGTAAAGACATAGTGCATAGGGACAGAAAACAAAGAAAGAGGAGAAAAGAAGTGAAAATCCTGCCAAAAGTACTATCTTGGTGAGGCACAAACATAATGCAATTCCCACAAGAGCCTACTCTGGTATCTCCTGACCAGACAAAGTGAAATGTAATGAAGAATGTTCCACAAATAAAAACAGAGGACAAGGGGAAGAAATAAAAATACTACAGCCTCTGATTTGCATTCTATAGGCAGAGAGCAGAATGAAAATGACCCTGTTACATCTGACATAAAAAAATTTTTGTCATATTCATCCTCTGGCATATTCTTTTCCTCTCAGGCACCTCATTATTTCACTCAACAGATTAGTAGCTGTTCCACTGGACTCCCTTATAACTCAGGCAGAAGCAGACTTCAAATTTCTTGCAGATATTTCTCTAGCTAAGAAATAAGACAGAATTAAACAAATAACATTACTTGTTGCAAACGACTTGTTCCACCCCATTTACTACCCGTCTAATGGAAAATAAGGAGGTGACTGGTGACAGACATGGCTTCACTAAGGGCAAATCGTGCCTGACAAATTTGGTGGCTGCCTATGAGAGAGTTACAGCATTGGTGGATAAGGAAAGAGCAACTGACATTATCTAAGTAGACTTGTGCAAAACACTGTCCCATATGACATCCTTGTCTCTAAATTAGAAATACATGGATTTGATGGATGGAGCACTCAGAGGATAAGGAATTGGCTGGATGGTCGCACTCAAAGAGCTGTGGTCAATGGCTCAATGTCCAGGTGGAGAGCAGTGATGAGTGGCGATCCTCAGGGGTCAGTACTGGGACCAGCACTGTTTAACATCTTTGTTGGTGACATGGGCAGTGGGATTGAGTACACTCTCAGCAAGTTTGCTGATGACACCTGGTGAGGGAAGGGATGTGCCATCCAGAGGGACCTGGACAGGCTGGAGAGGTGGGACCATGTGAACCTCATGAAGTTCAACAAGGCCAAGTGTACATGGGTCGGGGCAATCCCAAGCACAAATACAGGCTGGGTGGAGAATGGACGGAGAGCAGCCCTGAGGAGAAGGACTTGGGGGTGTTGGTTGATGAGAAGCTCAACATGACCCAGCAATGTGTGCTCACACCCAGACAGCCAGCTGTATCCTGGGCCACATTAAAACAAGCAAGGCCAGCAGGTCAAGGGAGGTGATTCTCCCCCTCTTCTCCACTCTCGTGAGACCCCACCAGGAGTACTGTGCTCAGCTCCTGAGCCCCCAACATAAGAATGACATGGACCTGCTGGAGAGAGTCCAGAGGAGGCCACGAAGATGATGAGGGGGCTGGAGCACCTCCCTTATGAGGACAGGCTGAGAGAGTTGGGGTTGTTCAGCCTGGAGAAGTCTCTGGCGAGACCTTATACCAGCCTCCCAGTACCTAAAGGGGGCCACGGGAAAGATGGAGAGGGACATTTTACAAGGGTATGTAGTGATAGGACAAGGGATAATGGCTTTAAACGGAAAGAGGTTTGATTTAGATTAGATGGAAGGAATAAGTTTTTCACTGTGAGGGTGGTGAGACCCTGGCACAGGTTGCCCAGAGAA